GTACCCGAGCAGGTAGTGAACAGAGTACCCGAGCAGGTAGTGAACAGTGTACCCGAGCAGGTAGTGAACAGAGTCTGACTTTCTAGGATAGATAAACCCGGTTCTTCCTCATCACTGGGCCCACCGAGCATGCTCACTAGCGTCTCCTTTAGAAGAAAAAGAACTCTGGATTTATCCGTCAGTGCATTTTACTACTTTAAGAACCTCATAATTTCAACAAGCTTTCATACTAAAGATGATTCACTCTTTCTTAATAGAAGTCTGTATTTTTGGGTCTCATGACATCACGTGACGGAGCAGGAAATTGTTCCTCTACTGTTTAACGTCTATGGAACATCTGATCCAGGACCCGGTTCTCTTCCTGGACCTTCATCTGGATTCAGGACACTTAGTGATCAGTATCTTTTATGACCAAATGATTCATTATATTAAATAACTGGAGCATGTCACCTTCAAATGTCCAGTGATGCCCGAGTGGACTTCAGCTCACCCAGATGAAGAAGCTCTCTGTATCAACCAGACCCATTACAAATGTGGCATCTTTAATATAGAATCGATAATCAGCAGCCAATAATACAAGAAGCTCTTTGATCAATCGATGCTTTGTGTTCAGGTAAATTCGGCACCAAGCAGCTCAATATTTAATGTACTAGATGACAACAACGTTCATCGTTCCCCACATCGTCTTATTACAAAGGACTCTTGAATTCACTGCTTTCTAAACGGAGTCTGGTGTGTTTTTAAACCTCTATAACGTCAGGTGTGTTACCTCTACAGGTGAGTCCTTCTCACACAGGGCGGTGCTCTGGTGGTTAGTTAAGTTAGCAGGTTAACTAGTTAAGAGCTGGTTCACCTGCAGAGGCGCCTCCAGCAGCGCGTGGATCCCGGAGATCTGCTCGCTGAGCGGCACGTTCTCCTCCACGCGCACCGTTGGAGGTCTGCGGGGTTCGGGAAAGTTGGTGCAGACGAACGGATCCGAGTCCTCCAGGTACTGGGCCCGACAGACGATGGAGGCCATGGCCGAGCGACCGAGACCCAACTGCGGCTGAAACACGTCCGTGTGTGTCGGTGTAGAGCTGGAGGATCCTTTAAAGAGAGGAAAACCCGGTCCTGGCTCCTGCGGGACCGGACCAGTGAAGCTGCTGTGGATATGTAGGGGCACTTCCGGTGATATCTTTCAAAATAAAAGCAGTTTTTGGCTGCGATTAAAAACAAAATTAAAAATAAATAGAGTCAATTTGATTGTATTCCGGATTATTTGACAGCATCTGTGTGATAAAAGAAGTAAATATGAAACCAGTAAACTGATCAGATAAATAATCAACATGAAGTATCAGAAAAACACCATTACATACAAGTGAACGTGAACCAATCACTGTTCAATCATTCTGGATCTGTCCAATCAGAGGACTCATTAAATCACATGATCTCCTAATGGAGTCTGCAGCTTTCTGCTCTTTTTAAGCATGACGACTGATGCAATCTATGAAATCACTTTAGGTTTCACTTCATCGTCCTCTTCAGTGAGTCCTGCATCACATGCTGGTTCTGTTTCAGACACCATGAACCGGTCTTCTCTGGATCCTAAACTGAGGCCTCAGGTGGTCTAAAGCACACAGGTTGGACCCTGGCTCTGGTCTCTGTGGTTCACATCAGTCTAAGAGGAGCAACTTGAGTTTCCTGTCAGCATGTCCACGTTCATGTTGCTTTTGTTTCTTCGTCATCTTTTGTTTTGTCTCTTTTTTGTTGTATTTATATTGTGTTGTCATCGTTGTTTTTGTCTGTTTGTGGTCGTTTTCCTGTCTCCATAATAAATGCAGACAATGACAGAGACCAGAGGCAGGACGTCGTTAATCAATCAACCACTACTCCCAGTATCTCTGATGATATGATGACATGAGTATGATATTCTATAGAGTGTAGAAGAGGCCTCTAAGTTCCCTCCTTGTTATTGATGATCATGATGAGTCTTCTAGTTTTATTGGTTCTTTACTTTGTTGTTGCTGCTGTGACGTTCACATGTGGGATCAATAAAGGGGATCCTCTCTTTAAATAGATGACATCACGTGTCAGTGTTCTAGTGATATATTATATTTATACTGTATATTCCAGTGGCGGGCCGTGCATTTTATACCTGGGCCTTCACTGCTGTCCTGCAGCTGAAACACAGCTACGGTTATTATTTGTTTCGTGTAAAAATGAAGCTCAACACCTGTATATACACTATCTGCCGAGAGTGCGTCTCCTCTCTGCTCTGACTGCAGCGCGAGGCTTCTGTGGGCGGCGGCGGAGGGGCTCACGGCAGCACCGCTGCTCGTTCACGACAGGGCAGAACTACGCGCTTTAACGTCAAAACACCAGAAAATTCTCCATCAACACCAGAACAAGTCTCTAGATTTGTCACTTTGACAAAGAAAAGTCTTCATGAGGGTTTAGAAAGTCGCCAGATTTAGCGAGAAATTCGCCAAGTTGGCAACACTGGCACCTGCTAAATATGTCCCCAGAGCAACACTGGACGTAACAATGGTTCCTATCACATATAAAACCAAACAAAAATCCATCTTCATAAAAACAAGTTGTACAAATAATAATCTATAAACAAGCATATTAAAACTACTGCAGATGTAAAAACAAACGCATTTAACTCCTGCTGTTCACTATTTAAAGACAAAGTCCATCCTCCTTTCTTTGTTAATAAAGAGTTTAATCTCACGGTTGTTCAGTACATCCGTGTGTTTTAGTTCCAGTAAGAAGTCCTTCTGGATTCATGGACGCCAGTGAAGACAGTCGAGCCTCCCCAGTTGTATTTCTTGAATACGTTTTAATGCGTTTGAGGGCTGAAAATGTCCGCTCACAGAGGCAGCAGATATTGGGATTGTCACCGCCCAACATGTCAGGCTAGCCCACTGACCAATTACGTACTTGTAGGCCAGCTAGCAGGCTCTGACACGTCAAAGAATACGCCCAACATGTCAAACTAAAGATCTGATTGGTTGAACACTATGACAATCAACAACATCGTCCCCATTCACTTAAACTGCACATGGATGCACTTGTGAGTCTGCAGGCCTCTGCCTCTGTTCTTACCTAGAGACACAGAGGTGAGATCTGATTGGATAAAAGCTCTACTTAAAACAAGCTGCACTGGAAGCAGAGCAACTGAGGAAGACAGTAGCTGTGCAATGAGAACATAAGCTAATGGGGAAAATATTATTATAAATTATAATCATGTAGTGTATTTAAGAACAATTATTAGATTATAAAATAGATATAACTTTGTGATTCTGTTTAGGCCAGCAGAGAAGGCCTTGCAGGCCCTGACAGCCCACCACTGATATATTCAGACAAACAACAAGGAAGGAAAACACGGACATCATGACTTTTATATTGAAGGAAGTCTCACGGAACATCCGATTTGGTGAAAGGTGACTTGATGGTGGGCGGCCCACCGGTGACGTCACGCCGGTCCAGCATGGAAACACATCGAGCAGCAGGAGTGTGAAGTCAGGAAGGGAAACTGTGAGCTGCAGCTGTTCACAATAAAAACAACCCACGAAGAAGAAACGTTAGAGAGCAGCATCATCTGGTGGCTGAATGACGTCAGCCTAGAGACACAAAGAGTTCATGAGGGTCCAGATGAGTCTGAGAAAGTTCTGGATCAGTTTAGAGTCTCAAAGACACGATGAGACGACAAACAACACGGAAGTCTCTTTGTAACTGTTTGTGACTCTTTGTGACTCTTTGTGACTGTTTGTGTCTCTTTGTGACTGTTTGTGACTCTTTGT